GTGGCATCAGGAAGCTCGCCAGGCGATGTTTCAGTCTGTGGAAGAAGAAAAACATAATTAATAAATGTGTTATACGTTAGCATAATTTATCATTTACGAGAACATCTTGTAAGATTAATATACAAATCTAACTTGAGTATGAAACCTTCAAAAGTTCTATCCATTCTCTATTCTACTTATATGTATTTACAAAAGTTACGTTTTTAATATGAGCATATTAACTATAACTTATTCAATTTGCATGATTCTAAATGAACTTCATAAAATAAAGATGTATTTTTACCTGTTTACTATAATATTTTCGCGATTTATCTGGGGAATAGAAAGAAAAATATCGTTTCAACATGTCACTTATTTTGCAAAGTTTCCAAAGAATCATGCATGCACTCTTAACATTATGGCATCATATCATTATTATGATTATGTATGTACGGAAAATAAAGTTATTTACGTGCGAACTATTTGATTGATTGTTATTCTTGAATGTAAAAGCTTATGTAAAATTCGTTTATGTGCACGAAATATGGAAATGAATGCCTACCTTTGTGCTTTCTCCTGTTTCCTCAGCGACGCATCCTTCTTCTGGATTTTTAAGTCGCTGTCCAAACTAACATCACTCAAGGAAGATACCGGCTCGGCGGGCTTCACTGGTTCCTCCGGCTTTACCTCTTGAGGCTTGTCAGCTTCTGAGGGCTTTTCTTCCTCCTGAGGCTTAATTTTCTGGGGTTTCTCCTCTGGTACTGGTAGGGACACCACTTGTATGGCAGGCTCCGATGATGACGAGCTCTGTGGAGGCTTAGGTTTATATTCATTGTGGTATTCTTCCATAGCCAAGTCTAAGAGGTCGTCCATGTCCCCAAGAGCGGATAGCAAGGACTCGGCCGGAGCCACTGCAATCACCACGCCATCGATGTTCAGCCGGTAGTTCTCTGTACCATTCTGTCGCTGGTCATAGTGTTTGGTTGCGCAGTCGGGCGCAGGAGCAGCGTGCACCACGGCCACCAGCACGGCCACCAACGCCACCTCGCACACCACTCGTCTGTAGTTGACCATCGCGGAAGGTGTCTGTGGGCGCACTGAACTTCGGTTGCGGCTGTGGGACCCGCTATGTATCCATTCTCCGCTGCATCTTTTATTTATTTGCCCAGATAGCGGTACAGCCAGACGCGGCTTCGACTAACCGCGCGACCCGTCGTAGTTAAACTGGTATTAACACAACAGAATTGTGTAATAAATACAGGTATCATCCGTTATGTTAACACGGGACATTATATTGTAACTCTCATTACTATCTGTATACCGGAGTCAGTAGATAATGTATCCTGGCTGATACCGTGATGCGATGTAGTGTTTACATTATATTTATAGAACAGTAGGTATTGGAGATATAGAGGCCGTCGACTCAACCCAATAACCCGTTAACCTCTGCTATCGAATACAACAGTTAAAAGAATTGATAGCAATTTATTTTTGGCAATCAGCAACTAATTATTTTTTCTTGACGTGTGACACATAAATGTTAAAGTCATTGAAATTAAATAAATGTAAATCGTAGAGATTAATATAATATAACGGAACTGAGATTTAGAGTAAGTAAACCTAATAGTAAAGCAGGGTGTTATTATACACTATCTGTTGCCGGCGATTACGTCTGCATAGAATATGATTACTGTTTTATCCCGTGGGAGCATTTAATCGAGATTAAAAGTATCCTATCACCTAAGTTAGCCCATACAGTGCCTCTATACCAGCGTACCTCTATAAATTTCATCAAAATTCGTTCAGTAGTTTCAGCGTGTTTGACGAACAAACATCCAAATAAAGAAACTTACATTTGTAGTAATAGTGTGATTAAATTTTTTTAGGTACTGTCCTGTATTCAAGGTTAGACTACCTACATGTGAAGTTCACAGTTGCATCCACTACCACTTACAAAAGTTGAGTTCCTTAATTTACCTACAGATACAGATCCTGAACCCGAACCGCTGTATTACAGGTCCTGAGTCCAGAATAGACTCCAGGTCGCACAAAGGTTGAAGCCTATGTAACTTCAACACTTTAATATTATGTATCTTTGTACCTTTTTGAGAGAAATAAATTCTTTTATAGATATCAAATTACAGTTATCGAAAAAGCTTACAAACATTCGAGCTTTTAACGCTTCCATCGTTTTGTACACATTAGGTACCTAGTGGCAAGATTATGGACGGTACCTACGTATATCTAGCATAGGCAGTAAATAAGTAATTAATAATAAGTTAATCTGTGTTCGGTGGCACAGATCGTGTGCGGTGGAACAACCTGTCGCTGATGGGTCGCAGACAGCTTTCAACTAACTGTATCTACCACCTACTTGCACCATCGCATCGTCGATAAACGGTAAAACAACTACATTTTTCTTTCTTTGCCCTTTTCTCAGATCATTATTTGGACGAATTAAGCTTAATGTGGGCTTGCTTGATCATTTAAATAGCCCGTCGTATTTTTTTTGTCTGATAGAAAGGAGGAAATACGAAAGCTTTTAGCAAGTGACGATCTGTTTGTTAATTCAACAAAAAACTTTTGAGTTCCTTGATAGTTTTATTTATAAATAGATTCTAAAATGAATGTAACAGGTGTAATGTAATATTAAGCTGCTTCGTTGATTGATTTGGCCCATCTTAATGTGACGTTGTAGATTAGGAAGTCCATACGAAATATCTAATAAAATTGTGTCTAGTATAGGCATACTTCGAAAACAATAAGTAAGTAATAACAATAAATATCTAAGTGTAGATTAAAACCAATTAATGAGAAGATAATAAAATGGACTGCTTATCTCAAACAATTTTGTTAGTCTTAATCGCTCAATCGTTTTAATTTTCTAATAAGTAACTATGAAAGTTTTATCCCAGCGGTAATTAATATAAGTACTTTAGTTTTTATGAGTCGACAGATTTCTAGACAAGACCTAGAAACTGTTAGCTCTTCACAAACAGGTCTGCGGTACTTTCTACAGGTCCACACCCAGTTAGTTATATTTTATGGCGATCGCCTTGTTTCTCTGTTAAATTATTTACCGGTGCACTTGACATCAGCTTGTTGGATTACTTGAAGGAATCCCGTAGCTTAAAATTAATGTTCATTTATTTGTGTAGAAGATATTCCATCGATAGGCACCTACTTATTTCGCTTTGCTTAGGTACTTCATTAAAAAAAAAACTTGTAGATGTACGAGTACCTATTAGGTGCTAATTCTTTTTTAAAAGTCATTGCCCCATTAGGATTTTTGCCTGTGTCGTGGTTGCGTTTACAAACATATAATTTCATATGCACATTGGACCTAGACCTAGAACAGCAATTTGTGGATCATGCAGAGTTGCTCCTTGCGAGAATCGAGCACGCGACACGTTGAACGCATGAACATATGAATTAACTACTTAATAAGAACTCGTTATTTTGTTTTTAACCATAATAATTTGTTGATCCTTTACGAATGTCACATTTGGGTACTGGTTTAAAAGTAGGTAAAATGCCAATTGAGTGTTGTTTTTTAACCGTTGTATTCCCAAACGCATGGTCCAGTTTGTCAGATAACTGGATTGTTGGTACAACGGTACCACTTGCCAACTTGCTTGCTAATTTATTGGCGTCCCTTACAAACGAAAAATATCTTTAGGATCAAGTTTCGGTTCCTTATTTGATGATAATTTATAAAACGTGTTAATGTTAATGTGTTTAGAATATAGCGGTTAAAATCACACTATTTAAGGCATATTGCCAAAGTCTGTACACGGGTGGTCTATGGGTCAACTAGACCAAAAGATAGCTAGAGGTCCTGAGCGTCCGTATTAATCGTTTTCAGGACGTTGTTGACACGGCCCCCCATTGCGGCGCTTCGGAGATGTTCACGAAAGCTCGTATACTGATTTCACGCAATACTGCGGAAAAAAGCAGGAAGGTGAGACAGTCAAAACCTGAGAACCGTAGCAGAGAGTATGCACTCACCAATAATACAAATATTTGTAGAAAAGGTGATCGGTACTAACAATAGTTTGTAAGTATTTTCTATGTAACACTAACACCCGATGGACTTTGTCTGAAATGCATGACTTATTATTATAATTAC